CCTCGTTGCTGGCCGTTCAAATTTTCCTTGTAACTTTTCCTCCGTCGCTGTTGGCCCTTCCGCAGTTCGGCGTCATTTGCTGCGGAGAGTCCTGTCGGATGAGTAGATCTTCCGTTTTAGAGCCGGGTTATAGTTGCCGTCATTTCTCCTGGTTCTCTTTGCATACGTCGTCCTTCTCCCTTCTTCATTCTGGGGGTGTTCGTGAGCTCTCTTTTCTGGATGGTGGAACGGCTTCTTTTTCTTGCTACCTTCAATTTTTTGCGCGGGGAAACTTTCTTTTCACTTACTCCTTCCTCTTAATGGCTTGCCCTTGTACTTGTCGTTTTTCCACCTATGGAGTTTGTGCCTGCGGTGTCTGCCGTGCCGGATCCTGCAAAAGATCTTTGAAAATTTTCATTTTATTACGATCACAGTAGGGTTTGTTTTGATCAATGTTTGTGGAGCAGGTTTCACAATTTCTAGCTTTTAACACTACTACAGCGTGAGTTATTTTTTCTATGACATATGGTCTTTCAAATCGTGGAAAAAATTTGGCAGTTTTATCTTCTGGTGCTGAAGAAAGTGAATGCTTAATTTTTAAAACTTCATCCCCTACTTTATAAGTTACTCCCCGTCGTTTCAAGTCATAATATAGTTGTTGTTTTGTCTGTGCTACTTCAGTATTCTTCTTTGCTTCCTTAATTAGTTTTTCTATATAACCCATTTTAAATTCTGGGGCTCTTTGTTGCACATAAAATAATTTATCTAACGACTTTATAATCTTTCTGCCTAAAAATAACTCAGCAGGAGTTTTGCCCGTTGTATCATGTTTTGCGGTCCTAAGGGCGAAAGCAAATTCATTGACATAGTTATCCCAGCTTTTATGAAAATTTTTAACATAACTACGGATAATTTTCACTATATTTCTATTGACCCGTTCCGCTATATTTGATTGCGGCCGATACGAGACCATTTTTAAATTACGTATGCCCAGTTTTTGGCACATGTCTTCAAATATATTACTTACGAATTGAGGACAATTATCCGATATAACTTTTAGGGGCGCACCGTATTTTAAAATATATTTATTTAAAATAGAATCGGTAACTAATTTTGCGGAGGCTCGTTTTAAGGGAAAAATTTCGGTCCACTTACTAAAATGATCAACCATAACAAGGAGATAGCGACTTTTATTTAACTGACTTTTTGGGAAAGGGCCCTATAAATCGATGCCAATTATTTCATTTGGAAATTCGGATTTAATACTAATTAGAAACCCGGCGGGGCGGGAATTAATATAATTAACTGCTTGACATGTTGGGCAGGACTGGACATACGCCCTTGTTAACTTTTGCAGTTCAGGAAAATAGACTGCCTCGCGTACGCGTTGGATAGTTTTTCGAATACCAGCATGAGAAGCTAAAGGGCTGTCATGGAGCTCCTGCAGGATATTTAATCTAAGACTAGCTGGGATAACAGGTCGAAATTCGTTGTTGGAATACGTAGTCTTTGTATAGAATAATAGACCATCTATTAGTTCGTAATGGGCCGCCCTATTTATCGCCACAATATCTTGGTGGCTAAAATTTTCAGGATCCTTTAAATACTCATAAATGCTTCCAAACTCAGGATCCTTACCCAGTTCGGTTATTACAGTTTCTCGGGAATTTATTGTACATGCTGTGAGCATTGCCACCTTTACGGTATTACCTTCTTCATCTATTTTAATTCTGGATAGAGCATCTGCTACGATATTTTCCTTTCCGGGGGTATGCTTGATTACCAGATTATATTCTTGTAGCTTGAGTGCCCATCTTATTAACCTTGGGGATAAGTTTTTCCCTGAGTACAATCTAGTTACCGCCGCATGATCAGAGTACACTGTTATTGGCGCCTTTCCAAAATAGACTCGGAACTTTTGCACTGCTAACAGAACTGCAAGTGCCTCTCTCTCGGTCGCGGAATAGTTTCTTTGTGTTTGATTTAAAGTTCGGCTAAAAAATGCCACGGGCTGCTGATTTTGCGAAAGTACCGCTCCTACCGCATAATCCGAAGCATCCGCTGAAATTTCTAAACTCTCATCCTTTTCAGGAAATTTCAACACAGGGGCTTGCGTTAATGCTTGTTTTAATTTTTCGAAAGCACTATTGGCTTCGCCCATCCACGAGAATCTTGCCTTTTTCCTTTTTAACTTTAACAATTGTTCAGCAACAGCTGCAAAATTTTTTATAAAGGACCTATAATGTGAACAAAGTCCTAGAAAAGAAGACAGCTTCTTCGTCGTGTTTGGAGTCCGATACTTTTGTACAGCGATTATTTTTGATTCGTCTGTCTCTATTCCTTTCTGAGATATCTTGTAACCTAAATATTTTAATTCAGGGGCTGCAAATTTGCACTTTTCGACATTAACTTTTAGACCAGCCTCATTTAATAAAGAAAACACCTGTCTTAAATCCTGTACACGTTGGTCGAGATTATCACTAGTAATAATGATATCGTCTAAATAGATAAATGCGGACTTTCCAAGAACAGGTCTTAACACAATGTCCATACATCGCTGAAATGTTGCCGGCGCCCCTGAAAGGCCAAACGACATACGCAAAAATGCATAAGTGCCAGACTTGGTTATAAAAGCAGTCTCAGGCATGTCCTCAGGCCTAACCCCTATTTGAAAATAACCAGTCGTCAAGTCTAAAGTCGTCATATGTTTGGTGGATGTTATGCTCCTTAGAATCTCTTCAATAATAGGTAACGGATATACCGGATATTTAGTTATGGAGTTTAATTTACGGTAGTCAATTGCGAATCTCCACCTTTTTGGATGTGTCAAAGGATAGTCATTATTTTTCTTACATAAAACCACCGGGCTAGCATAACTACTTGAGATGGGCGTTATGATCTTTTTACGTAGCATATCGGTGATATGCCATTCTATAATTTTTTCCCTTATCCTTATCATACCGGTATGCTTTGTGGCGAACTGGCATTGAATCTCCGGTGTCAATACTATGGTTAGTAACCTGAGTAAATCCGGGAATATCACTAAATAACGAAGCAAATTCACTTACCACTTGTCGGATTCTTCCTTGCTCGTCATTAGGCAGGTGGTCAAGATTTAACATCGGCGGTTCAGCCTTTTCTGCACGAACTGGTTTCATTGTCAGCTTAAGTGACGCTTCATTAAAATCCAGCGTTGCTTGTGCCTCTGAAAGAAAATCTATTCCTAAGATTATATGTGCTTGCAGATTCTTTACTATAAAAAACATCACCTTTACTTGTTCGTCCTTGATACGGACATACAGCGGTAATTTACCTATACACTTACATGTTTCTCCTTGCGCCGCTAACACTGTCGTATTATCCGAATTATATATACGATATTTACGAAAATACTTCCTAAAAAAATCTTCTGCCACACAGGAACACTGCGCGCCTGTATCCAGGAGTGCGGTGGCTGGGATATTATTCACCAACAATTCAATCTTCGGAAGAGTCAAATTTTTCACCATTACTGCATTTAACTTGAAGGAAGAGGGGTTTTCTTGGCCTTCGGAATTCCGCACCCTCCCGTCAGCAGAAATCCGTTTTAGTTTAAATTATTTTTCCTTTCCGTGCTTCCCTTCTTTTTCCACTGGCCTTGAGGCTCGGGTTTCCTTGCCCACTGATTCGCTTTGCTTCCGTAGCCGTGTGCTTGAGTTTGCTGTAGTCTTGGCGCACCAAATTGGTTTCGCTGTTGATATTGGCGTCTTCTTTCAATGTACGCCGTTCTTCTACTTTCAAACTGGATTGCTAGCTCAAATAACTTTTCCAGTGTAGTCGGATTTCTTAATTCAATAAAGTCTTGCACTTGAGGCAGTAACCTCGGCAAAATCACTTGAATTATCTCAGGATCCGGACGGTTTCCATACAAGAGTTTGAAGACGTGAATTTTTCTTAAAATAAAGCTTGAGAGATTTTCGATTCTTTGTTGATATATGCTGAAAAGTTCCGTTTCTAATTTCGCACGATCCCTTACGACAGGGAAGGCTTTTACTAAGGCAGTCTTGAAATTTTCGTAAGTATATGTGGAACATCCTGCTTGACCCAAGAGACTTCTGCCTATACATTTGAACCAATTAAGCGCTTGGCCCCTCAAAGCGCTGGTAGCTAAGGTAACTTTTTGAAATTCGTGCACGGGGTAGAGCATGAAGTGGTCATCCAATTTTTCCAAAAAACTGGTTATGGTGAGTTTCCATTAAATGTTGCTTCTGGTTTCATCGAAGCGCGCATGGTCTGGACGATGTAACCAAATCCTTCCAGGGCGGCAGCTGGCATTTCTGGATTCTGAGCCGCTTCTGCAGGCAGCACAGGTTCTTCTTGAAACTCGGCCATGTTTATTCTTCTTTGTTGGACGCCACTATCAGGTTCAACGTTCCGTCTTACCTTCTTCGGGAACATGCAAGGACCTGACTCGGAACAGAGAGCTTATTAAAGCTATGTTCAAAAACTGTGGGAAGTAGACAGGATACACAAGAAGGGTATACAAAACCCTTTATTTTTCTCTATTTACAATAATTTCCGTACTTCGGAATACAAAGGTCTACTACTTGTAGTCTAAACGTAAGAATATAAAAATAAAACTAAACTCTAATTTAACTTTAAATTAATAAACGTGGAAGATTGGCCTTATATTAACAGGAAGCCGTATGTAGTACAGAGAACTGTGAACACTACAATACGTTTAAAAATTATCAAGAGGATTAAAACCTCTGGCCTGGAAGGCAACCAGCAACTGAGTAAAACTTCTAAGGTAAGCGGCCTGCTTCGACTAACTGCTTCCTCTCTCTCTCTTGGCAAAAAGCCACAACTTAATTACTTGGCGTTCGCCAGACAAACTTTGCATAAATACATTAACGCTTATAATTCTGGCCGGAAGTAGAAAATAAGAAGTGATAGTAAAGATTTAAAATAAAATAAACGTTAGTAAAACTTAAGATCCTTACAAGGTTAACACTGTATAATATTTTAGACGTTGAAGAAAACCAAGACATTAATAAATGGCATTTTATTTTTGTTTCTTAGATGAAGTCCTTATTCCAGAAGAAAAAAGGGAAGTAGATGACATATCAGAATTTCGAGACTATATCCGCCAGGTAGGAAATCAATTTGGAGATGGTACTATCAAGCTCCCTTCAATAGAAAATCTCAAGGAACCGATCGCATTGCAAGACTTCAATATTTCCTTAAATTTTCATCTTGGTAATATATTTGGTTTATTTACCAGCTTACAGCTGTATAGCCTGAAGGGCTCCCAACTGAACAATGTAACTATCAATTTGTCGAAAATGGAGATTTGCGCAACGATGTCAATGCCATTCTTGGGCATCAAGGGTCAGTACTTTCTGGACTCGAATATGCTATTAATGTCACAGTATGGGGGAGGTGCTTTCTTGATGAACATGACCACCAAACCATTGCAGGGACATTCGCGATTACAAATCACATCTGATGGCAAACTGAACGTAGGACATTTCAATATATCTTTTGGCATCATATATAATGAATGTGTAGATGGCTATTTTTCCGTCAGTGAGTTTAACTTTGAAAACCTAAAGAGCAAAGTCAGTGATAGAGAAATCCCTAAAGGGTCCTGGGGAGGATCACGTAAGTGGCAAATGATAAGAGAAATTGGGAGTAAGGTGCAAGCTTCACTCTTATCAGCCCTTGGATCGTATGTACAGCAAAAACTGAAAACTCTTCTGCTTAAGTTGCCACCAAGATATATAGATCCCATCAACACGAATGTCATGGAATACATTCTTAATAATTTGGCTGAATCCATGACAGGAAATGACATGGAACCCCTTCATTTACCAGAATCGACACCTGATCAGTTAAGAGAGATAAGCGGAAAGTTTTTCAATGTGACAGTGGATGGCTCATCGACATTTTCTAGGAAAGGCGACATCATCGTGAATGTGTATAACAATTTTATAGCCTTTGGAGCCTGTTTTGAATTCCAGAACTTAACCGGAAGTTCTATGTGGGAGGTAGATATTCTTGGGGAAAACAAGCGAGGCCAGGTCAGGATGGAAATGACATCAGTATCTGCATTCATCAGGTTGCAACAGAATATGGTACCAGGGTCAAAACTAGAACTCGACTATCTCCTTTTCGAAGATGTGTGCCATAATTGGCTGGATTCTAAAAGTTTGAAGAAGCTGGGAAGCACACAGGAGGATAGTAGGTCTAAACTGTCTTCCACCTTGGCAAATTACATCATAACTGAATGGCATCGAGTCGTTAATAAAAGAATGCTAGCAGAGTTAGAAGAACTGAGCATTCAACTTCCAAACGAAAGTACTTCTCTTATCAAGTATTTCTATTTAGTTTTTTACGGTAAAAAGCCCAAAAAGGCCTGCTGAAAACGTTGAATGACGAACCTACTATGAACTATTATCAACCTACTATGATGAACCTAGTTTTTGTTTGAGTTACTGATATTTTATTGCTTGCATCTGAACAGGAATCTTGATCTGAAACAGGTGGTTTTCAGTGTCTGCTTTTAATGTATTTTTCATTGTGGCAAAAGTTTTAAGTAAGTCTTGTATAGCTTAATCCTTCCAATACAAGACGGATGCAGAAGATTTCACACTAAATAACGGTGCGGTTTAATTATTGTGTCAAATCTATAGAAAATCGGAACAAATCACCAATTGTGCAGTAATAAATGATTATTTTCTTTCTATATTGTGTTTATTGTAAACTGAGCGTAGAATGCTTTTTTACTTCTACTGTTCAAGGTGAAAGATTGCAGAAAAATAATAGTGCTTGTAGAAAGTAGAAAAATGATTTTCGAATTTTTAATAATTCTTTTTTTTATTTTATGTATGTGTGTTTAATCATTGTATCTATTGTAAGATTATATTTCCCTTTATTTCAATCGACGAAATTAAAATATTTCATAAAAGAAATATTGTTTATGAGGCTTAATACATATTTAATTTTTACTACATATTTTATTATACAACATGTAAAACATAACTCAGATGATAATACAAGAATGTAATCCCAAATTTCCAAGACAGGTGTGACAAAAAAGATCTTTACAACAGATGAATTCATCAGGTTGACAACAGATTGATTCAACAGATTATCAGGTTCTGTGTTCCTCCTTACTTGCTTTGGGAACATTAACTGTCCTGACTCGGAACAGGGAGCTTACTAAAGCTATTGTTCAAATAAATGTGGGAAGTAGACAACACACAGCAGGAAGGGTTATACTTTACCCTTTATTTTTCTGCAATATTACAGCTGACTCCCGGCACTTCGGGAATACAGAGACCAACCACTTGTGGTCTGAACGTAAGAAAAAAGAATATAAAAAATATTAACTAAAAAGCTAACTAAACTACTTTGGATTAATAAACAAGTGCCTAACTCCAAGATTGGCCGTATATTAACAAAAAGCCGTATGTAGTACAGAGAACTGCTAACACTACGATACGTTTAAAATTATCAACAGGATTAAACCTCTGGCCTTGAAGGCAACCAGCAACCGAGTAAAACTACTATGGCAAGCGGCCTGTACTTCTAATAGCTCCTTCCTCTCTCTTGCTTGGCAAAAAGCCACAACTTAAGTACTTAGCGTTCGCAAGACAAATTTGCATAAATAAGTTAAAGCTTTTAATTCTGGCCGGAAGTAGAAAATAAGAAGTGATAGTAAAGATTTAAAATAAAATAAACGTTAGTAAAACTTAGGATCCTTACAAGATGAATTCATCAGATGTACCATTATCTTCTATTGAAGCTGTTGGTGGAATATTGATTTAGAGAGAAAATCTACGATTCTTCACCAACTGCTATGGGTTTATTATTATCTGGCTGTAACGAAAAAGATAAAATTTCGTTTTGCAAGAGACGAGGTAGTATTTTTAATTCCTGCTTTCATTTTAATCATATAAATCGATATTTTAATTGTTTGCTAAGTGCTAAATCTCGTGCTGAAAAAATAAGCAACATAAGGTAAAAGAAAAGGTACAAATGTAAAAAGAGGAATTAAAACATACAGTTTACATATGAGGTAGAAGTTGCATCGCCGAATGAGAATAGGCAACCAAAATTAGCATAAAACGCAATCCCGCAATCACAGCACAACGTCTTAAAAGGGGGCATGCCGGAACCACGCGTCAGTTCGCAAGCAGCCATAGTGCCGCGTAATGCGAGAAAGCAGAAGCCGAAGATTTGGTCGATGAAATGCGTTGGAGGGCTGTCGGGAAGTTGCAAGCTGGTGCAAGACAATCAATTATTGCGAGAGAGCTGAATGTGTATCGTAGTGTCACCAATAAGCTGCGGAATCGTCACCAAAGGGATGAAAACCTCTGGAGAAGACGAGGGTCTGAACCTCGGAGGATAACGACAACGGCAGATAACCTCTTCCTTTTGCTATGTAGAAGACTCTTAACATCCAGAACGATTCCTGAAGGGGAATGATATGATGAGAGCCAGGGAACACGCTATCGAGTGCCAGACAGACATCGTCGAAAGATACCGTTTCAGGGTAGGACGCTTACTTCCAGGAACACGCTATCGAGTGCCAGACATCGTCGAAAGACACCATTTCAGGGTAGGACGCTGTAGGGTTCCGTTACAGCCGTCCCATATCGCGATGAAAGTTTGTACCCCATTGTACGTTCTTTTATGCGGTAAGGGTTACTTTATCGTTGTAATGGGTATAGATATTTTCGGAAGATAACGTCCCCCCCGCAGAGAGTAGGGTGGAGTTATCTGGAGTGCGAAACCATTCCACATCTGTCGTGGTCTACTAGATGATCGGATCTGAATCCGATAAAGCATGCATGGGACCTGTTTGGATGACGGATAGTAGGTCACAGTGTGCCACCAGACACCCTCCCCGAGCTGCGACATACTGCAACAGGAATGGGCGCTACTGCCACGACGGTAAGCGAGACTATTGACAGCTTGCCTCGTCATTGTCGAGCATGCATTTCAGCTACAGGGTATCATAAAAGTAATTAGCGGTGATAATCCCTTTGCACATTCTTCCCTCCCATTTGGTCTTTCGTGATGATCGTAATATGTATGTTTTTGTATGTCTTTCCTTTATTGTTTGCTATGTGGTCTAGAAATGGCGCACCAATCTCTTGGATCAAGTCCATCCATACACATCCATTAAATAATTTTTTGTTTTATTCCCAGATTTGACTTTCTTCATTAGTTTTTGAGCAGGAGCGTATCTTGCCTGGAGAAGGGGGGGTGTATGAAAAAGGAAAAGAAAAGAAGAAAGCAAAAGAAAAAAATCTGAAAGGTTCTAGATTTCAAATTACGTCTAAAGGAGCGTTGTTTTAACATTTTGTGTGCTACCTCTGTTTACTAAATATCATGTTCTTCGCACTTAAAACATAAAATTCAGTTCAAGAGCAATATCGCAAAATAATTTTAAATTGATCATATCTTGAGAATTTCCGATACACAGTCTCGCGCGCTGGAGATAAAAAAAATTTTTTATGGGGGTCCAACATTGCCATTGCTCGCTTTGAAATCCTTGAGTTTGTTAATTAAAAAGTCGTTAAAAATCAAAAGTTAATCAAAAGTTTTATGAAATATGAAATCGATAATAAAGCAAATTCCAAATTTGGATTTCCATATGCCCATATTCGCAGGAGGATAACGTTATTCAAAATTGGATGGCTCTAGGTACCGTTGTTTTATCACAATGCGAGAAAAATACATACATTTATGCAGATTCTTCATTATTTAATTTCTTTAAATATAATAAAGGGCGATAATATTTGGTGGCAACAATTTGAAAGTGAAACAACGCTTACAGCGAATCAACGCAAAATGCCAAAACGAAATTAATAGTCCTCCTGGGAAAATTGTTCCTTTGCACTAAGAACAAAATGACCGAAGAAAATTAACACTGCCGTACCACAACGTTTTAAAAAGAGAGAGTGACGGCACTGTTAAAGTGAAATAAATAAATATATATATATATAATTAAATAAAAAATAAAAATAAAAACCGTAAAATGGAATCAGATGAATTCTGAAGCTCAAGACACGACAAAATATCAGCTGCAATGGCTGAAGATCCAACTGCTATTAGCACATAAACGTTTCGCTCTTCAAACACGTGACTCAATCACGTGTTTGGGTTACAAAGTGTTAAGACATGATAGTTTTGTAACATTCATTCGGCCTGTGTGTAAAGGCGCTTGGATTAAAGAGCTAGAAGAAAATGGCGTAGTTTTAACAGATGTCGCGGTTAATTGCGAAACCATTCATATTCTCGTCGGAGCCGACATAATGGCAAGGTTGTTAACCGGAAATAGGAAAATTTTGTCTTCGGGCCTCGTTGCTGTAGAAACTAGTTTAGGATGGACATTAATGGGTAAGGTGCCAATAGGAGAAGAAAATGTTAAAGCTTACAAGAAAAAAGTATCCCCGACTTTTTCTGCTTTCAGTACTTGACTTAATAAATCACACTTCAGCACGAAGTAGCCTTTAATTAAAGACTCGCATCATAGATTTAAAGATAGTCTCTATCATTAAAACACTATAACTGCGGTGATTATTTACACAATAGAATCAGTTTCAACGAAAACAAACTTTATTATCACTAAAGAAACAATGACGCTCCTCGCGTCGTTACATCGTTCTCCAACTTGAATATCTCCTACTGTTGCCATACACAAGTAGATAATTTATACTAACAAAATAAGTAAGGCATTATTAACATCCTCCCACCTTTTGATTATAAAACATAATCAAAACATAAAATTACCATTAAATATACTAAATAAATAAAACACAGAAGTACACTCAAGTATAAGAAATAATAATAGCAACCAATAAAAATGTATTTTACTAAAGCACTTATTTAAATTATAAGTCCAGTTTTTCTGGAATCTTAATTTTTCTACCAGTCCTACTAAATTTTGGCTTGTTGTCAAGCACACCATTATCCTGTTTAACAGGCTGCTTTGAGAACTTGGTCAAACTATTGGATTCCACAGGCTTAGAACAGTCAGTAGGAGATGCTATCTCGAGAGAATATATTCTCTGAATAGGACGAAGAAGTTCTTGGTGTAACGTCTTTACCTGGAAGGAACTCACTAATACGACCTAAAGGCCAGTTAATTCTCTTTTTGTTATCAACTCCTACTAGAGCAATATCACCCGCAGCCACTGGGTGTCTTAGTTTTTTATTGTTCCCTCGTTGAATGAGAGCACATAAGTATTCCGACCGAAATCGGTTCCTCAATTTTTTAAGTATGATTTGTCTGTATTTGAGTCTTTTGGACAAATAATTTTGTTCCACAGCATCAATATCTGGAACACTGCATTCATGAATGTCTTGCAAAAACATCGATGGAGAAATGGGCTTTATCACATCTGCTTCAGAGATATAAGTCAGAGGTCTTGAGTTGATTACGCTCTCACATTCTGCCAGAGTAGTTGCCATTTCTTCATAATTGAGATGTGCCTTACCTAACACTCTTTTTAAGAGATCTTTGAATATTCTTATTAGTCGCTCCCACCAACCGTCCCACCATGCAGTCGGTGGGTTAAACTTCCAATCAATCGAATTGACGACTCCATGTTTCTGTATACGGTTCCAATCCAGTTGTTTTAATGAATTGGCTGCTCCAACAAAATTAGATCAATTGTCACAATATACAACAGTACATCTTCCTCTGCGAGCTATAAATCTTCTAAATGCCATTAAAAAGGCGTCTGTAGAAGCTGCAGTAATTAGCTCAAAATGTACTGCTCTGTACACTGCACAAGTGAATATTAACACCCAACTCTTTCTACTTTCTTTTAGAAACAGAGGGCCAGCCACGTCAACCCCTGTAATTTGAAATACCGCAGCATCTTTAACACGATTTTCAGGAAGGGGTGCGCATATCGTTTCCATGTTCCTTGAATTATATCTTTTACAGATTGTGTAATTAGCCACAATGTTTTTCACAGTCTTTCTTCCGTTAAGAATCCAATATTTTTCTCTAAGCAGATTCAAAAGTATCTGACCACCTGCGTGACAATTCTTTACATGAACAGAGAAAATAAGTCGTTTCACAACTTCGTGTTTTGAAGAAAGGACGACCGGTTTCAGAAAATATTCACTACCCTTCCTGTAAATAATCTTAGTTTTTACACGATAGATGCTACGATCATCTTTAAAAACCTGAAGTGTTTTGAGTCTATCATGTTCCAAATCAAGGGATTCTTTTTGAATCATATGTAATATCTTTAACTCTGCTTGACGAAATTCTGTTGCATTCAATTTTACGTATTTCCTGCTTTCGATATTTGTACAATTATGCTTAAAACGAAGAATCCAGGAGACCATACGTACTATTCTCTCATAATTAGAAAAATGCCTGTAATACCAATTATTATTACAAACGGTTTCATAATTTGTCATCGTGCTAGTAGTTTTTAACTTCTCCCTTTCAATCTCTTCTTCATCCCGGCTATGATGGTTACAGGAATCCATGTAATTAAGGAATTCGGTGGGATCATTAATCCAGTGTGGTCCCTCCCACCATCTTGATGTAATTAGATATTTCGCCTTGTAACCTCTGGATGGCAGATCAGTAGGATTTCTTTCTCCAGGAACGTGCTTCCAAGCTGAAGGCTTACTGAGTTCTCTGATCTCCTTAACACGGTTTCGCACGGAAACAGACCAGTTTTTATCTTTTTTAATCCATGCGAGCACTGTTGTGGAATCACAAATCAGTAATATTTGTTAACTCTTTCCCATCCGAGGGCTTTGGTTACTGAATCTGTAAATTACGGCTGCCAAAAGCTCCATTCTTGGGTAGTGGCCCCTCTTAAAGGAGCAACTCGAGATTTTGCAGCAAGAAGGAATAGTTCAACTCGATCGTTGTTCTCAATCCTTAGAAATGTAACCGCTGCAAAAGCGTCTTACTTGCCATCAACAAAAGTGTGAAGAGCACAACTACTTAAATTTTCTGAAGTGACTTGAATAAAGCTAGGAATTTCAATATCACTTAAGCATTTTAATTCTTCAAGCCATTGTAAGAAATCTTTACGAAGTTCGCCAGTGAACTCCTCGTCTCAACTGACACTTTTTTTTTCCATGTCTTTTGTAACATTATTTTTCGACAGAGCATAACGGGGAAGAAATACCCAAAAGGATCGAATACCTTATGAACGGCAGATAACATGCTTTGTTTTGTTATCTTTTCCAAATTAAAGTCATTCAACAATCCCATATTGATTTTCAAAGTGTCCAGTTCTTTATTCCAAAGCAGACCTAATACCTGCGTTTCTTTCTTATCGTTGATTCCGTCGAACTCACCAGAATATTTCCATCCTCTTAGGTCAAAACCGCCTTTGGACATCAATATCTTAAAATCGTAAACAAACTTTTCCAACTGTTGTTTAGTGTCAACACTAGTAACGACATTGTCGACACAGAAACTTTGCAACAGTCTCCTTTTAAAAGCAACTTCAAAATCTCACTGTTTCATGTGGTGCTCAATAACTGAGGCCAGAAGGAAAGGGCTACATTTTGCACCGAAAAACAAGCTGGCATTCGAAACTCTGAGCTTCTCTCTTCATGCTTTCCACCATAAAAATCGCAGGAAGTAGTCTATCCTCTTTTCGAAATTATTTGTAGAAAGGCTTTTCTAATGTCCGCTATGATTCCATATCACCCGCTCTCTGAATAGCAGAGAACGTCTGGAATGAGTTCATCAAATTAGGACCGCACTGCAAGCATTGGTTTAGAGAAGGATGGTTTTCAACCTTGCTGGAGCTCAAACACTGGACTAATAGGTGTGGTACTGCTGCTTGCCTTCAGACAGGGCGATGAGGTATAATTACCATAGAGTTCACTTCGGAAGTGGGCACAATTCTATGATGCCTCATCAATCCAACTTAAAAGCATTTTCATTGTTGATACAATTCATAGCTAAAAGTTCGAAGTAGTGTACTCGAGCCTCTTTTAGCTAACTAAAATTATCAGGTAAAGGTGACTTAATCAGCCCAAGGTAAGCAATTTCATACCGACCATCATTATTCACTGTATCGGTTTCTAAAAATGTTCTTTGGTCTGAAGATCAATCTCAGTTCAGATTTCTTTTCTACAGGATCATTATTCCTATTAAATCCAATCTCCATAGACTTGAACTTCAGCTTCATTATAAACATTGAGTCACCAGCCTTTGCTAAGTTTTCATTAGGAGCTTCTTCTACTGGCACCTACCCATTAATGCCCATCCTAAACTTAGTTTCTACAGCACGAGACCCAAAGACAAAAATTTTCCTATTCCGGTTAACAAACTTCCCATTATGTCGGCTCCGACGAGATATGAATGGTTTTGCAATTAACCGCGACATCTTAAAATTATGCCATTTTCTTCTAGCTTTAATCAAGGGCCTTCACACACAGGCCAACATTGTACAAATTGAGCTTGATCTAGCACTTCAAATTTGCACGTAAACTTTCATTCAAACTTCTCAATTTTATTTTATAGCAATTATGCTTCAACTCATTTGTCACAAACACCCCCGAAAAGAGAATGACCATCTTTCCGAGAACGGCAATTTTCTTTCTTCGGCTTACAGTCTTTAAAATGTATGATTTATGCGAAGCTGAATCTAAAAGTAATCTTACAGTCTTCTGTGTACCGGCAGAAGTAAGGTTCCCTTTCAAAGTTTGAAGAAACCTCTAGGGGTATGTCTTTTGAAATTGGACAAGTTAATTTCGCCCTCTATCGGTTTTTCTTGGTTTTTCGGTTGTACAGCTTTGATTTGTGTATCAAGCACATCACACATTAAAGGCACATGTTTTTTAGAGCAAATCAAGCACTTTAAGAAAACTCGACATTTCTTGACTGTGTGGCCAAGTGATAAACAAGCATAGCAGCAAAGCTTATCTTTTAAAATGTTTTGCTTCTCCAATAAACTCATTTTTTGCGAGAAAAAACAGTCAGAACTCAAATGTTTAGCATCACAAAAAACGCACGATTTCGTAGCCTTGGAAACAGAAACAGCTGTTAATAGCGCTGCAGCTGTAGGTGTCTTGTTAAGTAAATATTCTGCACTAGAATGTTTCTTTTTTACTTGCTTATTATTATTATTATCTTGATGCTTCCCCAAACCGAAACCAGCTACAGCTAAGCATATTCTTTCCTCTCCCTCTACTTCAGATCTCAAAAACTGCATTAAATTGTTTAATCGATCCTACGCTTCCGTTTTAGAATCGGAAGAATTACTACGATTCCACGCTTTTAAAAAATTTGCTGGAAAGCAGGACTCAACCATTGGATATATATAGAAGCACATTATCAGTTGTCAACAGCTTATGTTTCCAAAGCGCACGAAATAAGATTCAAGTTATCGTACAAAAAGTTAATGAAAACTTTTCCTAAGTTTGAACAGTTACGATTAATTTCAATAATTCTCTTACGTATACTTCGACTAAAATATCTTCCCTTCCAAAACGGGATTTTAAACTTTCCACGGCCTTTTCATAATTAGCACCGATAGGCGGAAAACTCTCGACAACTTCTCTAGCGCCGGAACCCGACACAGTAGCTTGAATTAAAGGTAAAAGCGCAGAATAGGCTGCATCAACAAAGTTCAGTAGGCGGAGCTGTGTGACGTCCATAAGTGGATACGACTAAGCTTGTGACGTCACAATATATTCTCGAATTTTCACTACGCGTGCTTTCTGTTATCTCTTAAAAATAACAATAATGAATTGTTTATTATTGTAAATTAATATCAGATTCTTTAAATTTACATCTATAACATTTAATCTTAGGCGTTACTGAAAATAAGTTTAATAAATTGTTTATATTTAAAATTACCGTGATACAGTGAACGAATTCTACCAATTATTAAAGCGATAAACAAAGTCGTAGTCTCTAATACTTGTATTTCATACAGCTTCAATTTTCAAATATTTTTATTAAATTATTATTATTTTTATTTTTTTATTATATTAATTTTTTTTATACAAAATAAAATATATTTTTAAAAATTTAAATTCATATTGTAACATTTCAATTTTATCATTTTACAAATTACCTTCTTGCTACGTACGTAAACGACATAATTCCTTGCATACCAATAATTAGACAATTTTCATTATTTCTAAAAATTTTAAACTTTACATTAATAAAAAAGAAGAATATTTTTTATTGAATATGACATCATTACACAGCTTTCATATCAGTTTCTAAAATTCCTATATCACGCCATATTCTTCTAGTCATGCTAGAATCTACGCATTAATAATAAAAAATCTAATTTCTCAGAATGAAAGAAATAATATAATAAAAAAATACTACAAACTTGGAACACTAAGCAATGCTTTCACATACGCACACACACACTATTATCAATGAACTCATATTATCAAGTGCAATTACGATACCAAAACTAAGTATTAAAATATGAGGTAAACGTTACTTCAAGAGTTAAGTTAACCATTTTTCTACTGTTGAGTAGATCGTCGGGCGATCGATATATGTCGTAAGTCGGAAAGCGTTATAAACATATCAAAGCCAAAAAATTAAAAATACAATTTAAATGAAAAATGACGTCTTAAATATAATTCACAATTAAAACAACAATACAAATTTAAAATACGCTAATGATATGTTAAACATTGCACATAAATAAAGTTTACATTACGGCTCGGCATCACACACAACCTCGTTTTCTCTTCAACAACGATCAGTATTCGCTCGAAAAAACATCAAAGAATTCCACAAACTCGGGTGTCCATGTGCTCATCCATCTATTTTCACTTAAAAGAAAAATCAGAGAATTGCTCAAACTCGGCATTGCGCACCACATTGACTTTGACCATGTGCACATCGATCTATTTTCACTTAAAAAAAACATCCCAGAATTGCACAAACTCGGCATCGCGCACAGCATTGGCTTTGCCCATGTGCACATCGATCAATTTTCACTTAAAAAAACATCTCAGGGTTGCACAAACTTGGCATTGCGCACCACTCAAAATCGTCTCAAAATATAGGCCTCAATACGTCTCAAAACCGTCTCTCTACTAGTTTCATATTTGTTCCACAAATTGGGCACTTACTATACGATATTGCAATCAAACTTTTCTCCATATATACACCACTCAATAACGCTCTTTTTGCCTCTTTGCTCCATCTGATTAAAAAATCCAGATTCAGATACCCATCCATTCTGCAAGCACCGATTTTGACACACTCATCAATAACTAAAACATTCTTTAAGCAAAAGAATTCTTTTCTGTAATTTCAGAAGTTACGGTTATAATTTTTAACTCATGCATTCAGTATTTTCAATCGTTTGGTAATGATCGTTTTCTTGGATCTAATAATAATACATTTGTCAGAATAATTCGTTGCGTTAAATGCTAACATTACCACACACCACACAAAAGTAGATTTATAATTAAAAAAATCTCGCGCAGAACATTATAAACCTACCATTTCAACTCAGTTAAAACTTCGTTTAAGTTTTCTTTAAATACGAAGCTATAGCATACTTATAACTGGGTGAAAATGTGCTTTAGGCCCCTGCTTGGCGATTTTTTGAAAATCGCCAGTAAAATATCAGAAGCGTTGCATAAACAAATTTGCGAAGGCGGAGCTGTACGTTCATAAATGGGTGGGACTAGATGGGGCGGTCACAATGTATTCTCTACAGATGTAGAAATAAGTATACTAATTTTTGTATTT